TGTGGGTGGATGTGTATGTGGGTGGATGTGTATGTGGGTGGATGTGTATGTGGGTGGATGTGTGTGTGTGGGTGAACGTGTGTGTGTGTGGGTGGATGTGTATGTGGGTGGATGTGTATGTGGGTGGATGTGTATGTGGGTGGATGTGTATGTGGGTGGATGTGTATGCGGGTGGATGTGTATGTGGGTGGATGTGTATGTGTGGGTGGATGTGTGTGTGTGTATCATGGCACAACTCGATGTTATTTTTGTAATTTTGATATCGAATTGAGGACAAGAAGTCTCAGATTCCACTAACACCATGAGAGATGCGCAATATGAGGTATTACAATCAAAGTCTGTTGCAGGCCTAACACCAATTTCTTACTAATGTACACATACATCTTTTACATCTTTTAATATTGGGCCTTTTTTGCCTGCCTTTTTTTTTGTCCAGATGCCACAGATAGTCAAATATGTACAGAATTTTAATAAGAAACCTAAAAAAGGCTTAAAATATGCCCTTAGCAATATCCAAAATAAAAATCAAGTATGCCCTTAGCAATACCCAAAGCTTCGTAATAACGAGTTTTTGCTGTGGTGCTGAACAGGGTAATGGACCAAAACATTTCTGTTCACCTAATTTTCAACATCATTTTATGTACATGGTTGCTAATATTCTTACTAAGATATCCTCTCCTCACCCTCCTCCCTCCCCAACCCCTCCCCCATACAAGGGATCTTGTGCGGCATCGCCAGTTAATTATTTCCAAAAAAAAAGCTGTTTTCGCGCAAACTTTATCCATATTTCAAATAAATTTTTTTGCGATAAAAGCAATGCGGCAAAAGAATCCCCTTAAAGAAGCTATGCTGGAAACTCGTTAAGCACAGAAAAAGCACACCCTGACCTTGACCAGACGGCCAACAGCATCACCCGAGAGCGATGTATTGTGCTTGTCCTCGAAATGCTTCGACATCAGCGTCACGCTGTTACTTCGGGCGCCACATAACGGACAACTCATCACCACCGACCTGCAACACCAACAGCGTGCCAATAAACACAGCTATGCGTGTCCAACCGAAAAAAAAAAAGAAAGAAAAGACTCTTACCGGGCAGCAAGCATGGCCGACAACTGCAACGCATAGGCCGTTTCTAGGGCGATTCGAAGTTCCTCCAAAAAAGCAGCCGAATAGTGGCGCTGCATTTTTCCGGTACTCGTCACGGACGCGTGCGACGGACCCAAGGAACGAAGCCTGGTACGCCGAATAGAGCAGTGCAGCAGAACAGCAGTAGACTGCAATAGCAACCACACAAACGATGGGTGCAGCGGTGCAGTAGAAGAGCAGTAGGCTGCAGTAGTAACCACACAAACGACGAGTGCAGCAGTGCAGTAGACTGCAGTAGTAACCACACAAACGACGGGGCGCGCCCACGATGAATTTGTCTTATTCAAAAAGGCACCGGCAACAGCAGCAGCAGTAGCTGGAAGGGGAAATTTTCTCTTTCGGGGAAATTTTGCGAACAAAAAATGAAAAGAGTGGAGAAGGATGTGTGTGGTGGTTCATGCCCGTTGCAATAGCAGCAGCAGCAATGGCAAACGAACAGCACAACGTCGAATGGAAGGAATTGCGTGGCAGCCGCCG